GTTAGCGACCACATCATGTAGAAAACTAACTTACTAAAAAGCACCAACCGGAAAAAATTATTCAAACCATTTAAACTCTGTCCTGGGATTCATAAGGTCTTCGTTTAGAAGAATTATGACGCCTCATGATGAAAGCCGAGTTCCTTCGGAAGTCACGAAGCCGATGCCCCTACTGATAACCAGAGCAACCATTTATTTAGGTACATGGAATGCTCGTACAATGTGGGAGACTGGGACAGTTTTCCAAATTACTGCAGAAATGATAGGGGGACAACCAAGAGGTGCCTGGGATCAGTGAAACACATTGGACGCAAGTTGGACAACAACAACTAGGTTCAAGGGAGCTGCTGTTATACTCCGAATATGAAGAAGAAAATGCCCCACATACACAAGAAGTTGCATTGATGCTGTCCAAACAAGCACAAAATGCACTTATAGGATGGGAATCTCATGGACCAAGGATCATCAAAGCCTCCTTCAAAACAAACAAAGAGAGCATTTCAATGAACATCATCCAATGCTATGCGACCACCGACGACTGCAATGAAGACGTTAAAGATCAATTCTACGATAGGCTGTAGTCAATCGTCGAGAAGTGCTCAACAAAGGACTTGACCATTCTGATGGGAGACCTAAATGCCAAGGTTGTAATGGACAACACCGGATATGAAGAGATCATGGGACGACATGGACTAGGAGAAAGGAACGAAAATGATGAGAGATTTTCAAACCTATATGCCTTTAATAAACTGGTTATATGCGGCACTATATTCCCACGTAAATGCATCCGCAAAACCACATGGACTTCACCGGATCACACTACGCAAAACCAAATCGACCATATTTGCATCAACAAAAAGTTCAGGAGGACGTGAGAACAATGAGAGGGGCTGATATAGCATCAGATCATCACTTGCTGGTCGCCAAGATGAAATTGAAACTCAAGAAGCACTGGACAACGGGGCAGACAATATCACAAAAGTTTAATACGGCTCTTCTTCGGGATACTGACAAACTTAACAAGTTCAAGATAGCCCTTAGCAATAAGTTTCAGGCCTTTCACGATTTATTCAATGGAAAGAGAAATACTATGGTGAACAACTGGAAGGGGATGAAGGAGGCAATCACTTCAACATTCATAAGGTTCTGGGCCAAAAAAAGCACCATCACAAGGAATGAATCACTGATGATACACTGGATAAGATTCAAGAAAGGAGGAACATGAAGGCGGCAAGCAATACCAGCCAAAGCAGAGCAAAGAAAACCAAGGCACAAGCTTAATACACAAAAGCAAGCAAACAAGTGGAGAGGAGCATCAGATCTAGCAGTGATGGCGTAAAAGGCTGTAAGAGAAGTAAACATGAGACAATTGTTGTGATACAACAAAGAAACTCGCTGAAAATAATCTTAAACCAGAACGACCAGTGAAAAGCAAGAAAGACAAAGTAATCATCAACATTGGAGAACAGAGAAGCAGGTGTGTAAAGCACTTCAAAGAACTCTTGAATCGACCAGCCACACTGAATCCACCCTGCATCGAAGCAACACTCACGGACCTCCCAGTCGATGTTGGCCCACCAACAACTGAAGAGATCAGCATGATCATCAGACAAATCAAGAGTGGCAAAGCAGCAGGACCAGATAACATTCCAGCAGAGGCACTGAAAGCAGATGTATCAGTAACTGCAAAGGTACTGAACGTTCTCTTCAGCAAGATTTAATAGGAAGAACAAGTACCAACATACTAGAACGAAGAACACCTGAATCAAAATACGAAAGAAAGGCGATCTCACCAACTGTGATAACTACAGGGGAATCACTCTTCTCTCAACACCAGGAAAAGTCTTCAACAGGGTATTGTTCAACAGGATGAAGAACTCCGTAGACGCACAACTCCGAGACCGACAGGCAGGATTCCTTAAGGATAGATCGTGTACAGACTGAATCGCAACTCTACAAACCATTGCGGAACAATCAATTGAATCGAATTCATTACTCTACATCAACTTAATTGACTATGAAAAAGCATTTGACAGCGTAAACAGAACAACCCTGTGGAAACTTCTTCGACACTACGGCGTGTCTCAGAAGTTAGTCAATGCTATACAGAATTCTTATGATGGATTAAACTGCGAAATCGTGCATGGAGGACAGTTGACAAACTCCTTCGAAGTAAAGACAGGTTTCAGGCAAGGATGCTTACTCTCACCCTTTCTTTTTCTCCTGGTGATCGACTGGATCATGAAGACGTCAACATCTGAAGGGAAGCACGGGATACAGTGGACATCTAGGATGCAGTTGGATGATCTAGACTTCGCAGATGATCTAGCTCTTCTATCGCAAACGCAGGAGAAGACGACCAGTGTAGCAGAAGCCTCAGCAGCAATAGGTCTCAACATACACAAAAGGAAAAGCAAGATTCTCCGGTACAACACAGCATGCAACAATGGGATCACACTTGACGGAGGAACTTTTGAATATGTAAAAACCCTTACATATCTGGGCAGCATCATCGATGAACACGGTGGATCTGATGCAGATGTGAAGGCACGGATCGGCAAAGCAAGAGCAGCATATTTACAACTGGAGAACATCTGGAACTCAAAGCAATTAGCAACCAACACCAAAGTCAGAATTTTCAATACAAATGTTAAGACAGTTCTACTGTATGGGGCCGAAACTTGGAAAACCACGAAAGCTATCACCCAGAATATACAGTTGTTTATTAACAGTTGTCTACGCAAAATACTTCGGATCAGTTGGACAGACACTATTAACAACAACCTACTATGGGATAGAACAAATCAGATCCCAGTGGAGGAAGAAATCAGGAAGAAGCGCTGGAAGTGGATAGGACACACATTGAGGAAAGCACCGAACTGCGCCATAAGACAAGCCCTCACATGGAATCCTCAAGGTCAAAGGGAGAGAGTAATACCAAGGAACACATTACGCCGAAAAATCTAGACAGACATAAGAAGAATGAACAACAATGTGATGGAGTTTTGTTCTCTGAGCTCAGAGAACTCATCCACCTGAGCTACAAATCTTCTCCACCATCTCAAAATCTTATGAACAACAATTGGATAGAACTAGAAAGGAAGGACCAGGACAGAGTGGGTTTTAGAGTGCTGGTCGGCGGCCTATGCTTCATTGGGAGTTACAGACGTAAGTAAGTGAGTAAGTATGTAAGTAAGAAGCCTGTTGTATTTTATCTGGAGAATACCGACAAGAAGTACCAAATAATGTGCAAAAAGTGGCGCCTTTAACCAACCTGTTATGTTTTTTCATATCATTTACTATAAACAGCCCGGGATCTGATTTGTACAATTTATGGATCTCCAGTTGTTTGTCGCGAAGCAGCTTTTGTATGACGCACCGACTCTCGCGTTGTACATTCCAATTTTACTGGCTTTGTTCAAATTCTTAAGCACTTAAATACTTTCTTATTTCTATTATGAATGTCTTCCGAAATATCGGCTCAACTAAGAGATCTATTTCTATAAATCTTGTATCACTTGTAACATTCTGATTTCACCTGTAAATTGGTGTGCATCAAGTAGCTTATTGTGATTCAAGAATAAACTATTGTTATTATTGCCTTCCTTGATAGCCATATGCTAATCCTACTCACCGTCCATTACTGGTGAATATGAACAGTCTGATAATTTTTTTAGGTAAACCTACTAGTATGCTAGGATCCATTTGGATCGTAACAAACGTTCTGTAACCGACTTTCTTGGTCATATTTTCATTAATTATCGTGTAAGCTGCGCGGGTGGTTGCGATTTTATATGTGAAGCCTCAGTTTTGATTTTCATTGGTTTGGTTGAGAGACTTTTCATGCATCTCGGAATTATGTATTGCAGCTGCGGTCGCCTATCTCCCTTTAAAACATTCAATATTGTTTGGGCACTTCGGTAGCATAGTAGCAATGGACCCAACTTCTCCAGTAGATGCCCAATCACTTGTCACAACTGCCGAAGATAGTGTAATACAGTTATTTCTATGATTGTACCCTAGTGGACGGTGTTTTTGAAGAATTGGTTTCGGGACGCTCTTTTTTCTACTCTTCGTCGCTTGTGTCTAACACTAACGAGAAACATATTGGTTGAAATGAAATCTCTGTTGTTTAATGAAGTACAGATTGTCAGGTCAAGAGGTTGATCCTATAAACATTGCCCTGGGATGCATCACTATGTCATGGTTTGTGACTTTTACGCAACCATCTGTGAAAAATTGGGGTTGACTGGTTACCCCTGATGCACTCATTTCTGGACATAGACAAGCAGTAACGTGGAAAAATGGTCTACAGCTTCTCTAAGAAATCCAAAACATTTATTCGGAGGTCAGTTCCTGAAGATTAAACGCAGTTTGTTTCGAAATTCCACAAATGTTTGATTGAAACGATGAATAATCAATAGCGATAGTACACACAACCAAAATCAGATTGTAAGTCTAACGCCTCAAAAAGATGGATTGAATAGTCAACAGACTAAATGTTCATCAGACAATTACGGCCTTCATTTATATGTGAAATATGTACTTGAGATGACTTGATATATCGGAAAACAAATGATTAACTTCAGTCAAAATGGTAATGGTCAGAGTTTCCCTTAGCTGTTATTAGTCAAATAATTTGTTGCACTCAAACTAAGTTAAAATACTCCACGTTTTCAAGTCATAATGAAATAACCTCCCGGTACATTCTGTTCAACTTGAACTAGCCTGGTAATTGAAAAGTATATTTTTCTGGTTATCGGACACTGATAAGCATCTGAAACATGGTTACAGTTACTATTAAACACAAAGAAGCAAGTTAAGATTATTAAATAATGGAGTAGACTCAACTAGTCACAAATCAGCCAAATATATACATTGTTGGTCAGAATCTTATCGAAGATGAGAATGAATGCAAACATTTCGTAAGGAATAGAGACATTGAGTATTTAACGGCTTTTTGAACTTGATAGCTTGTATGCTGCACTTGTTTATTCGTACTCCCATTTCTTGTTGGCTGTCAAGTCTGGTAATTTAACTGACGTGATGGAAAGATCTAGGTTGTATAAAAACAAAGATAAGGACGCTGAGGTAAATTTTTAGATATTCAAATGTCGATTTTAGGAACTTCGGAGGCGTCGTACTGATCAGTCTGTTGAACTTCGCAAAGCTAAGAAGGATGAACAACTTCAGAAGCGAAGAAACATACTGTTGACCGAACTAGATGAAACCTCACCCTTGAAAGAAAAGCAAATTGATACTCCTGAACATGTTAACTACGATGCAGTTATCCGTGATATGCAATCAAGTGATCGAGTCACTCGATTCAAAGCAGTTCAACTCTGCAGAAAAACCCTATCACGCGCAAAAAACCCTCCAATAGACGAGTTTTATAAGAGGGGAGCTGTCGACATTCTGGGTTCATCCCTTAGTTCCACTCAGTAGGTTAAAATAATATCCCTTCAAGTAGTAGCGATGACCTTGTTTTCGAGGCTGCATGGGCACTCACAAACATTGCGTCTGGTGATAGCTCTCATACAGCAGCCGTCGTTTCCTCTGGGACTGTCCCAAAACTGGTACGGCTGTTAAATCATTCTGCCGTCAATATAGCTGAGCAAAGTGTATGGGCTCTAAGTAATATTGCCGGAGATGGATCCAAATTCCGAGATATAGTTATCGAGAGTGGAGTTATTGAACCAGTGTTAAAGTACGTGTAACCGTAACCAAATATTTCTCCAAGACTTCTAGATCGAGTTTGGAAACAGCCCACAGTGGTATCAAACATTGCCTGGATGTTATCTAATCTCTGTCGAAACCGAGATCCTCCTCCGCCACGTGCCGTCATTAAAAAGCTTTTGCCTATTCTTAATCGACTTCTTCAGTATGAGGGTAATAAGAATGTTGTTGTAGATACCGCATGGGCTCTTTCATACGCGAGTGATGCCATAAATGAATTTATCGATGATATAATAGAAAGTGGATGTGTGCCGTTACTTCTGCGGCAGTTGGCATCGTCATCCGTAAGTTCGACTTCAGCATTTTATAACGGATTAGGCGAATCTCATTTCTCCCTCTCTCAGAGCCATTGGTAATCTTGTCATCGGTACTGATGAACAAACACAAGCTATTCTGGATGCTGGCTTACTAACTTATATCCCTGCATTGTTAAACAGTGAAAAGTCTACTGTGGTCAAAGAAGCCTGTTGGGTAGTGAGTAACATTACCGCCGGAAGTGTAGATCAAATTGATATGATTATAAGTCACAACATCATGCCATGCATTTTGGAGATCCTTTACAAGGTAATACATAACCGTCGATGATATTTTATTTCAAAATTCATTCTAAAGCCTACTTTTATCCTGATCTATCGTTTTAAGGCTGCTCAATTTTAGCCAGGAACGTCTATGATGGCTTAAACTAGTTTTTACGGCCGAAGTTCTCGTCATACTTTTGTTTGATGAATGGTTTTTATTAGATCGTTATTCTGTGTGCATGTGAAGTTTTAATCTAACTTCAGACCAAAAAAACTCATTTGACGGCTATAGTAATGAGTCGATTGGCTCATGAATTATTATGGCCTAGGTGATGTGGACATCTCTGCAGGAACTTGCGAAATCCGTGTTTTTTGTGTAGCAAATGTTAAAATACATCCAATTGAGAAATAGATTAGACGTGATTATTAAGCACTCAATCAGGAGGAGGGCGCTACTTTGTTCTACTTGCTTACTCCGTAATCATTCGAAAGATTAATGGGTCAACAAAAGGATTTATTGGGTGAGAATAGAGGCTGACAAAACTAGGTTTTATGGTCGTTCTTGGCTACAATTCCAAAATGTTTAGTGAGTTTCTGCTTAAAATATGAAACGTTCACGATTGTAGTCATTAACGCCTAAAGAGCGGGGTAGTGATTAAGTTTATCAACTGTATTTGAACCATCTGTTCAGACTGTATCACATACAACGTTAAACTTTCGCCCACGAATCCTAGGTTTTCGTCCGGTTTTGGATACTTCGGTTCGTGCAACTGCGTTGTGTCGTCAAACCTGACAGTACATTTCATACCCGAATATTTGGTGAATGTTATCATCATTTTCAGAATATATCACCGTTTTCCTCAGTTTCAAAATTGTTGAGCAAATTCCTCATCAAACTCGTTCTCAGACTCAAATTTTGCTCCCGTTTTGATATTATTACTTTGACAGCTCCGTCTCTTCATGCGACGTGGTAACGTAAACCGAAGTTTATGTGTTCAAAGGTTTACAAAACTCGTAATTGACTTGACATTCCGATATATGCCACTACTGTAAGCTCTACATACACCCTTATTCTCATATGTTCATGTTTGTTTTACAGGGTGAATTCAGAACTCAAAAAGAAGCCTGTTGGGTTATCAGTAATTTTATTAGCGGTGGGACTCCGGCGCAGTGTGCATATTTGTTGAACCAAAATGTTTTAAAAGCACTTTGTAATATACTCACGGTCTCCGAGTCGAAGGTTGTACTTATGGTTTTAGAGGGAATAAAAAAACTTTTAGAGGTATGTTTCGAATATTTTTGATGACAACTGCGTAATTCGATTTCAACTGTTACTTCCTTTTCTTTCTGGGGGTATCCCTAAAGTTTTTGTCAGCGCTTCTTGTTTTAATTAAACCTGAAATTTAAATTTTTACATGAAATATTCATTTTTTGTTCAAGATTTCTGATCAGTATGGTCAATTAGAACCAGCCTGTATCGAGTTAGAAACATGTGGAGGCTTGGATAAGTTAGAAGAACTTCAAGACCATAGTAACGTTCAAGTCTATCAAGTTGCTTACGACTTAATTGAAAAGTACTTCAATGATGCGGTAGGTTGGTGATTTCCTTGTTACATATTTAATGTTTCTGAAACGTTCATGTTCATTTTTAAGTCATCAGGTATCACAAACTGGCAGTTCTTTTTTATTTGTAATTGAGACCGGTTTATCTGCAGTCCACTTCATAGTATGTTTAAAAACAAAGTTCTAGGTTTTTACAAGTTTTTTGTGGTAAAGCCATGTGCATGTTTTTTAACATTCATATCAATATATATAGCACAACTTTCTGAATGGATTGTGACCCTCAGGTATGCAGTGAATCCCAATTTTTCGAATACCTAGATAAACTGTGGTTGTGGTAGAAGGAACAGTAAGCTAGGAACCTTGAGTCAATTATACACGAAAACCAAAAGCTGTGTACGTGTAACTGATCTCTCAAAAAATGGTCGAGATTTTTTACCAGTGATAATCGATCATTAAGGTATTTTCTTCGAAGTGTAATCACTACCTTAATGTTTCTTCAAAGTTCACTAATCTCAACGTACGATTATTCCTAATATGTAAGTTACAAGTAATACTAAGAGATGTCTGTTGGATAAAAGTGGTTATATAAAAGTACTTATTTGCTATCTACTTCGTTTATAGCTCCATGGGAGTATGCTTGTTATTTGTTCAGATCATCGCTTACTATAATTCCGTGGGACATTATTAAAAGCTGTCTCCATTGGAAATAGTTGTTTCATCCTCAACGCTCATTTTATTTTCATAGTGGGATTCCTTGTTCACTCGGTACAGTTTAAAAAGTTGTATTCACAGCTTTACTCTTCTTTTCAGGATGATGAAAACGAAAGCAAAGTCGTGGCTGGTGATGGCACAGAGAATAATGAAACTTTTCCTCCAAGTTCAGAACAAGAATTCCAGTTTATTGCTCCCGATGGGACTTCAGGACAAGGTGGTGACTTTCAGTTTTAAGTTAGAAGTTACTTCGACGCTAACTTCACATCCAAATTATCAGAGTTTCTAAATAGATTACTGGTATATGAACGATGATATTCTTGGCCACTTGTATAATCTTGACTTCCCCACATTGTGGTAACCAACAATAGTCATGTACGTATCAGGGATTATTATTCAACCAGTCTTATTAAGTAATATCACATTCAACATTATTTTTTGTTACCTCAGGCGCCTCAAAACTAACTGTAAACCCAAGTGTCTGTAATTATTCACTAAAAAGATTATCTTCATCTCTTAGAAGGTAATATCAATTAGAGTTCAATATGTAGTGTGTTAATACTATATGTACCTATGGCTTTAAAATTCCCGATTTTTTGGTGCCTAATAGCCAAAAAGTCTTGCTGCACACGGATGGTACTGCTCTCTTTTTATCGTTCCTACCATAATTGTTTCCAGTAGTATTGACAAACCATCCTGTTAAACCTTGTGAATAACATTTTGCTAGAAAATCAACTGCAAACTAAGGGTTGATTTCCTCTGAGTTGTTACGTAGGACAAATGTATGTTTATCTTAAGCATAAGCCACTGTCAGTTTACAATCTAGCGCGTTCCAAATTATTACCATCCTTTCACTATATTGGCTTACATCTTTTATTATGAATACAGGTTCCTTCTCCATGTTTTTCTCGACAAATTGGAACTTCTACTCAGCAATCAAGTGACTAAGATCTAATGTGAAAGTACCGGATTTCTGTAAGTTGTTTGCTTTGAAAAATGAAAGATGTGTGGGTATTTCAAAACAATCATTTCAGTCCTGAAAGCTGGTTTTATGTAATATTAACGCTGGTACCATGAACGTCGATTGACTTAGAATCTTATTTGTGAAGCGCTTTGAGTAACATTTCGAGTTAAACGTATAGGAAAATAACAGCACAATTAACAAAGGGTTATTCGTGTGCGATTGTCTTGTAATTCGGACTCGTCTTTGTTCGAAGATCAGTGTTCGTACTAGCAAGCTGGATATTCTAGTCACCTCGTAAATCATATGATTATCAACCCAAATAAAAAATTAGAGTAAGGTTAATTTTGGTCTTATCGAAATTGTGTCATACGGTCGTTGAGAAGCACCTGAGTTCTAGTACACAAATTTGTTCGAAATCGCAGTATTTTAGCGAAGTTCGTTTTAAAATCATTCCTGAGTAGCACTTCACATGTATAACTCAGCCGTTAAAACGAAATTCCGTTTGTTCAAATTGTTGCGAATTCACATTCATTATTTACTGGGTGTGGTTTTAGCTCGAGTGTCGGAGTCAAAGTGGGTATACAGGCCGTGCATATCCAGAATGTTAATGGTCCTAACGTCCAGTTGCGTTTGGGTGAGAATTTAGTATCTCTGATCGTAATGGTCTTACTTTGTTTACACCGCCGAACTGAGAATAAGTCGTGCAAAAGACGCTGACTTTTCGACCTCACATTTAAACAAGTCGAAATTAGACCATTGGAAAATTAGGAATTTTGTTATTTCACCTTCGCTATAACAAACGTTGTTAAACCAACTTGTCTGTTCCTTAATCTCTGATTGGTTATCCTGGCGAGTCACCTTATTGGCGCGATGTTTAGTATAAACGTCCTTTAAGTAGCTCTTAAAGATTAATCTAAATAAGTTGTATTGAGATTTCGTATGCGCCAGGATTATTTTTTACAAATCACAGATCAAACCACTGACGACCATTTTATCTATGAATCAGCCTTCAAATAAAAGACAAAGCTTACAAGCTTGTTACAAATCTGATGGAAAATCTGAAAGTCGATTCGAAGAAATAGAAAGAAAGTTAGTGTTGTGTTGCCAGTATTACCGTGTTGTTAGAATAAGTTTTATTTGTCTATGAACTTTAGATATTTATGCTATGCCTTGGTGGTGGTGATTCAGAACACGAACTTTGTATACAAATGTTTTAGACCTACATCAAATGGTGATTGAGAGTGTAATAAGCCAATTGTAAATAAAGTTCAAAAACTCATGTTATAAATTCGGAATTAGTAGACAGTTTCAGATGTCTTCAGTAATAAGTATAATCTATTAGCATCTAGAGCTTAGAAAGAGAGCTGGTTCTTTGCTTATATTTCACCCATGTTTATCCCTGAAAAAAAGCTTTTAGTCGAAATTTTGTGGAAGCCTATCTGCTGCTAAATATATGTAAGGGTTTGAGTTTCCTCGTTGATATATACAACTGAATTCTGGACTAAAGACCATGATACGGCATTGAGTTTTACAGTTCTGTTATGTTTGCTTTATGGATGTTAGCAGAATGTTGATCTCGAGGAAAGGCAGCATCTACATCTGATTTTATTGAAGCATCATTTTAAACTAATTATTGTCTCAAAAATCTCTGTTTGCAAGTATTTCAACATGGATTGGTTTGGAAAGCTTTTAAAACTGATAATATGAAGTATTACCATTCTATCTTCAAAACATCAGTTTCTAATTACAATAAATCCCTTCTAACAGGTAAGGAGGGTCGTTAAAAATCATACAATTGTTATTATGGTGGTACATCAGTTACCCAGGAAGAGCATCTTGGTGGTTCTGCATGTGCTAGGTTGCAACCACCTAAAATTGTTATACTGTAAGGATGTTTAAGAAGTGTGTAGTTAGGTGTGCGAGCAATCGGAATGCATGTTTTTCGTTATTCACGTATGATCACGAAGTCTATAAATGTTGTTGTACATTACCGTGAAATGAGATATTGGTTCAGCGGAAACTTCCTCTTTAGGCAAATTTCTTTACAAAGCTGTATAATCGCAAATACATACCTATTTTTCAAATCGATGATCAACATTGTGTGTTATGTATAAAAACAGATGAGTTAGTTGGCTATAAAAGCTATTAGAGACGTAGAAGGGAATGCGTGTGATGACTTAAAATAAGGTAGGACATTAGGACTATGAGACAGGATGTTAGATAGGTCTCTTTATCATACATAGTTCAGCTTCTTCCAGAAGTATCGCATGTTTTTCGGTAATGCCAAGAGGACGGTGGTATACTGTCTTCGACAGTTCCCTACTTGGGTTGTTAGTGACTTCGGTCGCAGTCTGTTTAATTCAAATGACATGTGTCCTTGGGGTGCTCGATTGTTGACTTTTATCAAAACGGCCTCCACCTCTTTTCAGCCAAGGTTGGTGATGTTCTTAAATACACTTAACAAAAGCCATCAGCTAATAACATATATCCGGAGATTTAGGAGTGGGTGAGCTAACAAATTTAGTTTTTGATCAAAATAATATTTGTGGGTTTTTGTCTATTCTACCTATTTTCATGTTTAACATATCTATTGATGTTATCATCCACAGAATATTGATTTTCAAAAATCGAGAAATAAGTGTATATTTGTGATTGTACAACTTTGTTAATGATCTCAACAAAATGAGAACTTATAACCGAAACGATCTATTGTCTCAATGAGCATACTTCGTTTACTTGGTGACCCTCTAAGATCAGAGTGTGTATTTGTTAGATTCGGGCTCGAAGCATACTATTGAAGTGTTATCTGTATTATTATGAACATTTTCAAGATGTCTTTGCATTGAATCACGCAAGTGGGGTTTTAATTATCGAGAATTATTCCGTCTGATTAAATCTCTAAGGATATAAAAATTAGTCACGAAATCCCTTTCTTTGCCGCTATTTTCCTTCCCTTAACCAGTTTCTGTTATCTTCTGAAATGTCCACTTTTAAAACGGCGAACTCTCCAATTTCTCTATTTTAGTATTAATTTACTAGGATTCCCTTCATACTCGTCCTTATACCACCGTACAGTTGATAATCTTTTCTGAGAGGTATTTTTGGGTTGGCTTTTTTGATGAGAGAATGCATGAGATTATGAGGAAAGATCTATAATTACGTAATCCGTGTCGCCCATCATTGACAGTCTCTTACATCAAGTGAGTATACAAAATAAAAACCCGTACTTATATATCGATAATTTTGCAAACTGTAGGTTGGTTTCTCGAAATGCGTTATACCTATTAAAAAGATAATTGGTGTCCAAGTAATCTGAATTTTCGTGTTCGTGTAGATCCTAGCCATAAATAGTCACTAAATGTCAAAAGTATGGTGTAAATCATACCGCGACCCCAAATACTCATTCCCTACGAATCAAAGAAATTTATCTGACACGGCAATGGTATCGCTGTTAGTAGTACACTAGCTACATGTTTCTGTTCACTGGTAAATCCAACTGATTGTCAGTGAATATTATATGCCTTCCTACGCCCACATAACTGGTCTTGATAGGTAATGAAAATAACAAAGCTTATTAGTCGTGTCATGAATAGTCGTGATTTCCGACCTACGAATTGTGATCGGATTCCTTTCTGTGTCAGCATATCCGGGTTACTATTAGATCTAATTAGTAATCTGTACAATTCTAACCACATATTCGGCATTTTAAGACTTAGGAACGCGTAAGGTAATTGAGTTCGTCGGTGATATAGACCTGGAAGTTGATATATCTGATAAAAGTACTGGTAGTATCAACACAACCATCAAGTCACATGCAGCCTAATGACACTAATCTTCCAAGGGGAGCGTTAAAAGAAATTTTCAGGGCATTTTTCCAATGTGATCTACCATATTACAAGATAACAAAAATGTTGATTCAAGTTGAAGAGTATGCCGTAAATATTGATTTAAGGTCAAAATTGATGAAGTTAGTTGTTTGTATTAAATGAAGTCTTGTAATAATGAATACCGTTAACTTTCATGGCTTCGTCTACAAATAGACACAAAAATCAGCACGACGATTACTCCTCATCAAATAAGTTTCACCATTTGATGACTAATTATAGAATACCTACACGATAACTAGTGACACTCATTCAATGAATAACTTGGATTGAATAACAGATTTCTAGTACAAACTGGTTTATACTTCATAGCATCACTTGGAATATTTTCTAGATTTCACTGAGGATTTTGTGAATACTGAGTAGAAGATAATCGTAGGTTACTAGTATTTCATCACAGATGTCTTACAAATATTGTCAGCCTGTTTTGGGATCACTGGGTAGGTAATGGTTGGTTATACGCAGGGTATTAGGAAATGACAGTAAACCAGTTGATAAGGTTGTAAATTTTCATCGACTAAGATGGTTGGGCCACGTGTCACGTATGCCTGAACACCGATTACCACGACACGCAATGCTGACTAATGTTGGAGACGTTTGGAAGAGAGTTACTGGTAGTGAAACCAAAACGCGGCACCAGTACTTAAAGTCACTAACTTCTGGTCTGAGCCATGTTGGTAGATGCAAACTACATCGTTGGGGGCCGCGCGACTAACGTAACCAGTGGTTGGAGACTCTGGATGACATGGCTCAGAGTCGATCACAATGGAGTAGGTGCATACACAATTTGCCTTCCTTCAAACCGTGAGATTAAAATTACTTTATACCTTTCTATCTACGAACTAGTCCTTTCTCCATGTATTATATCCTTATATGTGGTCTTTCTTTTATATATTACTACTGTTGTAGTAACTGGTTCTATGAATTCGGTGTTCATCTTGTTGTGTTAATGAAGTTTGGCAACTTGGATCGATGTATATATGTGTCTGGTCCTACGTTGTGGTTGACTATTTGACTGGTACAAATCAACATTCACTATTCCTGTCTCTGGTGCGAGTTCTTAAATAGATTTATCATGGGAATGTAACCTTACACACAGAGTTTCAGAGATATGACGTTTCGTTGCTCACAACTGTGTTTGAAAGGTGTCAATCACTGTGGGAACGTGTTTCAACAAAATTAGACCATATTCCGTCCACATCCGACATTGTGTTCCGCTTGATAAAGCATATGGTGAGGCATGCAAATCTCTCGACCGATAGTTTCATGATAATTCGATACTGTTGAATATTCAACCCTGCTGCAGTAAGTTAATAATTAGTAAGACATGACTTATCTGCTCATTTCGGCTTTATAAATAGAGAATGTTAGTGATTTGATTTCGAGTGTCTGGTAGATATATGCTAATCACTTATGCTTATTTGCAGTCTATAGTCATCCAGATTTACGAATATTAGAATTCAATGCCTTAGTTGTACAGACAAAGACTTAATGAACTTTAAGTGTCAACGAGTATAATCTTACAACGTCACGCCACATTTGTTCATTCTATTGGTCGGGACTATTCAAATGTACCTGAGATTCATTGGAAAGCAAACCCAGTTCCTGAAGTTGAGTAAATTAATAATTAGGATATTACTACACGGTTCCAAATATTATACGATCTATCTCACTAGCCTGTGTGCATTCATTTTACAAAGCATGGTTTTAATTACTGACGTTAATGTAGTTTGTTTATTTAATTCGAGGTAATAAATTAAATTCGCTATTTTTATCATCAGTTTAAGTTGTTACGCTTTCAAGCAAAAGGCGAAATTAATTCAGAGCAATTACGATTTTGAAGAACAACTGCCTATTACTGTTATTTGATCTGCACATGTACTGTATAAGTTTATAAAGTTTTCACTCTGGGAGCTGAGCATTTTTTATCGAATTCATCGAGCAGATAAGAGTCATTTCATCGGTTAACCTATCACAATAATCTACTGTGAAATGCTATCAAGGCACTACACAAAATCGTCCAAAATATATTGAAATGCATTTTCTATGGGAGAAAATTTTAAAATTAAATTTACTATCATCATTTACGTGGATGAAATAATTTGAGTCAGCGAATTCATCAAGAAATAGGTGCTGAGACCGAAACAACACAACTTTGGTTATTATTTTCCAACCACTGGCTTTATGAAACATTTTTGTAAAGTTGTTTTTGCTCAGGATTTTATCTTTTGCCTTTTCGTATTCACTAACGATTTTACTATTTCCTCACCCCTTTCGCTATTTGAAATTTTTCAATAGTCTGTCACTAAGTAAAAGTCCAAAGATCTATTGTCTAACCTGTTTTAAAATATGAATTATTTGTTTTAGAAATGGTTTCGTGATAGATAATTTATAGTTTAGTCATGTGAATCACTTATATGTTCGTGATATTTGAATATTCAGTTGAAACAATGGACATTTAGTTGCAATTATTCTTTGGTTTCCATTTCGACTAGTTAGACTATTGTTTTTAACAATAGCTATTTTGCCAACTCAATCACTTGAATATTTCGCTTACTAGTATTTAGTTGGTGGTTAGAGCTATCACTATGGGAACAAAAAACGATAACAAATAACTAATACTTTAGACAACTAACTACATTAAATTAACTAAGCCAAGTCGGCTTCTGTATAAATTTTTTGAATTATAAACCTTGGTATTCAAACAGAATCACTAAAAATATTCCATGTTTTCAAAATTGCTTGTGTAGTAATTCACATGTAAGGGTTTGAATCTTCTCGTTTTCTCTGTTAAGGGCTAGAATTGATCAGTATCTTTTGTTACGCATGGATCCTGGGTGAATCGCATCAATACTGTCAAGTCATAAGTATTTTAATGTAATATTAGAGTATAGTTAACAGTGAAATCTAGGATGTGCGTTTCATTCTAATTAGGAATCATCAAATTGGTGTGCCTGCACTGCTCGAAAATTAATCCGAAGTGACACAACTTAAAGTGGACATCGCGGGCGAAATGAGGTCACAGTATTCGATTTCAGTTTATTAGTTTTATAGGTCAAATATGATCGCCTCTGAATTGAAGTCAAAATACCTTTACATTATTCTCAATTTAAACTGGTAAAGTCGAGCTGTACATTTTCCCATTACTTTTATAGTAAAGCATATAACAATAATAATCAGCACTTCGACTTTCATTATTCTTCTTTGTACTTGTTAACCAAACAATTTTCTTCAAAATTACTTCTATGATGTCTATAAAAATAATGTATGTCTTCTGACACCTCCGACAATATACTTTGAAAGTACTGAATAGTGGCTATGTACGCTTCTCAATAGTAGTATTCTTAAGAACATTTGTCTCGGAGTAAAGAAGGTCTTCTTTGTGCGATTGCGTGCTAGACGTTTAATTCAGAATAATCAAAAAGTTGTAGAAACTAAGGATAATAAGAGTCTGCAATGTGACGTTTGTTTTCAAAAGGAGTTCGGTTAATATCAAAATGCTTCGGTAACATAAGAAACTTAACACTCATCTTCCAGAAAAGCATTATTTATATCTAGGGATTTTTAGCCCCGTATACCCATTCACTTTTTTCCATATTACCCAACAGCACTGCGGTTGACAAAATAGTTATTTTCAAAAACACTCCAGAAACGGATGTAAAATTTTCATTGCCATTTCATCTTCCGGGAATTTCTACTGATTTGTGTTGACAATTTCGAATCTGTTAAGCATACTAGTTTGTTTGTATCATGAAATATGAGTTTATCGTAGTTCAAAAATATGGTCATTCTCACGTTGTTTAATCTGTAATCTTTTTATTTGACAAATTAAGTCGGTTGGAATTTCATAATGTGATAAGCTCTGCATGGTGATAGTTGGGTCGCTGCACAAGGTCTACAGTAGCTTACTAAATAAATGCTGAAAATGAATAGAAGGACCTTTTTTGGTTACCTGTGGTTCGATAGATCATATTAGACTTGCTTGAGCTGAGGAATTATGACCACTAACTGTAAGTACTCGTCTGCTACTTTAAAAAAACTTACTAATTATTGGCATCCTTAATTTTGGGAAACCCAAACGGACAAGCTGTCAATGTTGATTTTGGAAGAACAAGAGACGGATACATTAGAATCCATTCATCTTATATATGATAGATGGAAACAGCTGTGTTGATAAGAAACTTATTAAAGGTGGTTAGTAGGTGCCGACTGTTAGAATACATTTCTCATTAGGTACAATTTGAAAACATGGTAAGGCGAAATTTGTTCTCACAGTCCTCAATCGTTGATGATAATCGTTAACTGTAACAAAATTTATAGCATTATATAAAGCTATTATTATTTAAGTTGTAGTTGGAACACTTGTGTGCAATTCATTTTGTCAATAGTTTCGTTTTTATTTATGAAGAAATAATGTCAAACTGTGTTGGTGCAATTTACAACTTGAGATCAACTTGGTTTTTTTTTGGGTATGATTTTATTCATTAAATATCGACAGGAAGATTTGCTCATCACCACAATATTTCATATATTTGTTAATAATTACTAAAGTTATTATTATAGTTTTTAAATCAATATTTAGTCAATATAGTTGACAAGAACCAATTCTTTACATACATTTCTGGAATTGAACATTGCTAATGGAGTGAGAGTTCATATGACGTAAATCAGTTTTAGATGGCAAACATTCGAAACCGACTGATTTCAAACAGCACAGTTTTGTGTTGCAAATTGTCTTCGAGAATTCATGATATGAAGTCATACTTTATTGCAAGAACTTCAGGGAGTCTGTTGATCAAAGTTAACTGGTATCACCAGGGACAAAAACAATCAACAAGATAAGAGTCATAGGATCGAAAAAATTATCGAAAGCTGGTTATCTAAGCAAAAGTGTTATTAAAGAGGGTAAGGGTGTCTTGGAAGTTTCATCGTCGCGGATGTGTTAGTCGTGACTGATGATATCTTTGCATGGATTCGATAAAGTTGCTTAACATCCATTAACTTGTGGCATAGGTGTCGTCTGACATACTCTCTATCAAGGTAAAAATAGTACTCAGGTTTCAGTTTATTATTCATAAATATCTTTGAAGAATTGCTCGGGTATCATCGAACGACCAAGCAGGCATAGGGCACTAGGCTTATATTGCAAATCCTTTGTTGTGATAGCTAGTCTTTATTTATTGGGGTGGCTAAGACTTGTGTTACGTGTACATGAGCACTCCTCATAGTTACTTGTTATATTTGTTGATGTAGAACTTTCAAGAAAGCGAAAAGTGCTTAAACTAGAACATGACACCTATCCTTGGAGTAACCGACTGTCCGTCGAAACCGTATCGCATACCAGATTAGTGTCCAAGCAATAATCACGGTTACTGGTTGTAGACGTTGGATGAGATGGCTCAGAATCTGTCACTATAACTCAGGTGCATCCTGTCTTTCTTCTTCCCTCTGTTCTTTTATACATAACTACTGGTTCCATCTTTTCGAAATACATCGATGCTTCTCACTACCATTTCGACAGCAGATTACTGAATAGTATGCTTGCTCCTTGTTGGCTGATGGACACCGCCTACTTTGCGGAAGGTCAAAGTTGCCAAAATCTCGGTGACGTTCTTGAATCGACATAGAAATTCATTCAAAAGCCAACACACTAAAACTGATGAGGCTTTCATAATGTAAAAAGTCAACGGATTTCACTACCTCAGTCCCGTTTGGTGAAGCTAAATATTGACTCAGACAGGCTCCTGGAAGTACTTCGAATTAAGTTAATTGCAATATAGCCTATCTGCATCCATCGTTGGGATGATTTCAGGTTTGACAACGTTTTATCTGTCTGAATTTGTTTCGTGCTAAGATTTACTGGTTATCTAAGTATAGCTGTGACCGAAAACCGCAGTTATCTATCCACTGAACTGAAATGTTAAGCAATGCGTCCAATTATCTTTCAGTATGGCTTACCCTACCGACCTGTTTTTTTTTAAATCAACAACAATTAGAGGTATGTGGTAGGCGCACATGTAGCGATTGTTCACAGAACGGGAGATATATTTTCTCGAGGGATCTGAGAACAAAATCAATTGGTAGTGGCGTTCTTGCTGATCTGAGGGCATGGACGTAGGGTTCGTTGAATAACTTTCAACTTCCTGCCAAACATTACTTTTTCAAAGTGATTTTTGTTGTCTTAACTCTGACTACCAGCCCTATGAATCGATCAGGTAACCTAAGGTGTGGTATTGTTTTGATAAACTTTATTTATTCCTCGCTTTTTTTGCGGTATAGTGGCACTGCTAGTGATTCTCGGGCCTTAGATTCACCACCTTTTTTCTTGGCTCTATCCAACTGACTCACTGTTGGGGTAAAAGTTCAAATGTTTCGGGCAACATAACTTGATTAGATCATAGTGGTAGGCAAGCTCAGTCATCGTATCAAGATACTATCGTCAAATTTTCGTAAAAATATCTAGATGATAAGCGAATCGTTATTTCGGTTAGTGGGGTTGAAAAACTTTCTTGAAGCCATACCCAAAGATGCAGTAATAAACGTCAACATACCGTAATGAATAACCAGTTCGTCAAACAACCTTTCTCAGTGCAAATAAGTCGATACTGAATAACATTTAGCTGATTTCAAACGTGAAGTACTGAATCAAATCTTGGACACTGTGGGACGTTCAATTGGATTATATTTAATTAAGAGTGCAAATTATATGCGAATTAAGAAACTCAACTAAGTGTATTTGATTTTATTTATCCAACTAACTCTGATTACAAGTCGTTTCACACCTATAAATAATTAATTAATTATACATTACACACAATTAACAGAATTGAGAAAATTGAGGAAAAATTGTCATTTGAATCGAATAAGCAGACAGAAACTGAGCTTACTTTAAAGAAATTAATTGATCAAGTTGAACTTATGAAACTTGCTGCTTCGAATTCGATGCAAACTACAAAACCAATATCTGTGAAAAGACAAGGACATCGGAAAACTTCAGTAAGTCAAAGAGTAAATTTTGTATAAATCATAAATATTAACTTTTGTCTAATGAAGATACTTCCAACTATTGAAGTTAATTTTATGAGTAAATAGTAGTTTGTTAGTTAAATTATTGTTAATGTGAATACGTTTGTATTGACTTTAATTCTGAATGCCTATTCAGAGAATATTTAGTTTGGCTTATTAACCGTATTTTGCAACTGATCTACATTAGATTGAGTATGATTTATTAGGAGAGGAATCTAGTTGTTAACACATTTATAAAGATGCCAAACTTTGTATTCTCAAAAAATTAAGCATTTTTTCCTATCTTAAAATAAATTCGACTAGGTCTACATTTAATATCTTACTAAATCTTAATACTTAAGTAGATCTTAACTGCCACTTTTCAAAAGTGACTGTTAAGCTGAATAAAGTAATTAAATTGCCAGATTTTTGTTTCTTTACGTAAATGATAATTTTCACTTCGTGTCCTTCATTACATGAATGTCCGAAATTCAAGATATATTACATTTGTTAATTCTAAACAGTCCAGGACGCGCGTTTCTTCCTATTTGGGACTCGTCAGCTGGATGTGCATCCCATAATTGATGTTCACTCCAGGACTTGAACCTAATACCGTTCGCTTCAAACGCCAATCAATCACAGTCCTAAACATCAATGAAAAGATTCAAATAAACAATACCCATTGAATTCAAATTTCACCCAATTTCACAAGCAAGTAGCTATCAGGACCCCGTAGCTAAGTGGATAACGCCGTGGCATTTGAAGCGAAGGGTACTGGGTTCGAGTCCCAGAGTGAACATCAACACTGAGACTCAGGTACATTCAGATGACGAGTCCTAAATAGGGCGAAACGCGTGTCCTGGATTCCGTTGCTAACCACCAACCATCTTTGCTTATAATGCTTGTGAATTAAGGCAATATCGAGGTATTCCCACAGGATGCACATATGCCGATCGGAGACTGATCAATTGCAGTGCTAAACATGAATGGGAACATTCAAGTAAACAATACTAAGTGAATTTAAAAACAATGATAGTTATAACGGTTTAGTATACTTTTTCTAGTTACTGAATAACAAGAAATAATTATTTATACCAAACTATAGCTTATAATTTTCTTAGCTAATAAAAACAGGTTGTAAAACCTTTCTTCTGTTGCTAGTTTTAAAATGTATAGGTCCAAGTCAAAATGAATAGAGACAGAAATTCAACGGTAGTATACATGAGCTAGAAAAAGTGTTTGATCTGCATAAAGTGATTCAAAACTGCATACAGTTTAGACTACTATTTAATGTAAAACATTTGCTGGTTTACTGTGACGACGGACCACGGGTGAACTCGAGGAATATGTAAGAGTCTCAGAAGGAGCCGAAGATATTCCATCCAATCACCTTTCGGAAGAACATTCTAGAATCCCTACGTGTAGCTTCCCGATTGGGCAATGCTATTAACCCCCTGTATGCGGATTGGAGGTCTGCAATGATGATTTCGTTCTTACTAAAAACTATAAATACCTGACAATTTTGTACTATGATTGACACTGTTTGGAATAATATTCCTTTCATTAGTCTTCTGTCTTCTCCTTGCGACTTGGAAGGGTTTTGGCGTTCTAGTGCTCAGTTATACGCGGTGTATCAAGTAAACCTTCTAGATATAACATTTACGTATTGGACAGGTATAGGCATTTGAAAGTGAGGAAGTGTCTTATCTGTAGTTCAGAGCGTTAAGTCCAGGTTCGAAGTAAAATATTGCAAACTACTGTACAAAAAGTTGTATAGATAAGTTAATTACATGAGTTTTCTAACCAGATTTTGAGTTAAAGGATGAGTGGTAATTAAGCGCAAAGTTCACGAAGTGAACTACTAAAATCTCTTTGTGAAGGGTGAATTAGTTTATTCTGTTTATAAAAGGTCACTGTCCAAATGAATTTGTTAATAATTTGTGTTGTGTTTAACTAATTTATATGTACTCCATCAGGTGTTTTGGAACGCGCAATGAATATCCGTAGGAAATTTTACATAATGTTTTCAGTACTCCAGCCTTCACACAAATCGAGTGATGAAGGGCGGTCAATGTTTATGTTTTTATGTTTAAACAAACAAATAAATAAAACTTGAATTATGAATTTGTTTTGAATGTGCAAAATTAAAAACGTATTTCTATTCTGAAACAGTTAACTACGTCCAGTGTCCCGTATTCACAGAATGAGAATCAAATATTGAACCCAGGTGCCTTTACATGCCCTGATGAATCGTCGTCTGATAATCTACCTAATCTGTTGAAAAGTGAGAAAACACCCAATGTAGTCTATACTTATATTGATAATTACCTTAAAGCCTGGTAGGTTTAACTTCTATGAATTTTTCGATAAACATTTTGATATTTATCTGTAAAAAATTCTTTATTCAAGATAGAAAATGTCTAGTAGATATAATCATGTTCTGGGATTCTGTGACAATTTTGCAATGAAGTCATTCAAGATGATTGCTTAGCAAAGTTTTCTTAATTGAGAAAATACGTGAAGTGTTGCGTTGTTGACTGTTATGTTATCATATATAGTTGTTTTCCAGTCGTAAACAAGTTATGGAACTATCCTGAATCGTTAACCTTTGTTCTTTCGCTCCGAACCTTATTTTTTATCATTCAGGGCAGATGATTTGAAAAGTTTTCAGAAATGGCAAAACTTAGGTATTCTATTTTATTTAGTAGTTTGTACCTTATTTTTATTCGCCATCCTGTCATTTGACTGTATGAAGCTACCTGTAGTGTCTAGTACAGTGCCAAACCCACATGGGTTGTTCCAGTTTCCGGACAGACGAACTTATTTATTCTACCTGAGTCACATTATGACCTTGTCAGTTTTTAGCCCATTATCCTTAGCTGCTTTTAAATAAGCGTACGTGTACCACTTACCCTATTCATCACATGTCCTTAGCTTAATTTTCTCCGGTTACAAATTGAGTTGGCACAGTTGCCTTCTCCGCTTCTAATTCTTAATATCTGTCAGAATAAACGAGTGCCTGAAATAAATCCATCCAATTCATCCCGTTTTGGCTTCTTATTACCGCTGTCGCACAAACGGGGTAAGCCTATGTGTAATATACGTATTTTAGATGAAGGATTTGTATTCGTGGCATATTCATTACGTTAATCCAAATCAAAGTCAAATCTCAGGCCTTGTGAGTCAGCTAGGATTTTTTCGTGATCATTAGGACAGCAGGGATAAATCATTATTTACAACTAGCTTTCACCAGCACAGTACGCCAATTTCTTATAGGGCCCATATATTGTCACGAAAGACATATGACAAATCATCCTATTATGTAGAAACAAAACGTTGGTTCTTCGGTTATGTATGGTTCAGTGCATTTTATTTATTTTTAGTGGGAAGTTTGGGGTGAACTCCCTTAAAACAATATGTAACTATTAGACTTCTACTAGAGAAACTTTAATCTGAGTTTATTTCTAACGTTTTAAATTTGCATAAAGTATGTCTAGTGTTGAGAAGAAATTGTTTGGCAAATTAGACATCTGCTATAATAAAATCCAATCTTTTGAAGCACATGCAAATCAAAATAAATCTGAAGATGATAATAGACTGTAAGTTGTTTTATCTGCTCAAATTACACTGGATTAATTTTAGTTTGAACTATTTCGCTCCTTCAGATGTGAATTTTAAGGTGATTCTTTGGAATCTATTGGTATATTTTGAAATTTATATAAGCCGAACAAATGTCGAAAACAAAAATACAATAGATATTCAACTTACGACCAACTATTTTAAAGTAAACCTAGAAACTCATCTAACTTATTCCATATTACTGCCATCACATTGGTGAAATGATGTGGGAACTTTTGTTAGTACCCACAACTGTTGTCGTCGGTCTAATCATTAGTTAACATACCGTTGATTAGCCTAATGGTAAAATAACTAGCCACTCTGTCGTCAAACTTGGTACTCTTAGGACCGCTATTTGGGAACAGAAATCAGTTTACTTAACCTTCTATCGGTCTCCAAAACTAAAACACGAACGGACAATTGCACAGGATAACCGTAAACTCTAATCGTTTGCACATTTTAACAATTGTTCACCAGTTAAGTATATGTAACTGGAAATTAATAATAACGATGAATAACTGGTAATATTTGATATTTTCGCCACTGATTCGCACTAACTAAAAAAATATGTAAACATCCGACACAGTACTTGGCGCGACTAAGATCAACCAAACAGACGATTAAGCAACAATGACCGGGGCTGTGATACGAACAAACAAAACTGTTAGTCTCAATACTGCTAATCCGTTGACACTGGGTTTCTTCTTAGTAGGTATAATGATCTTGAGTAGGGATGAAAATCATCATAAGACGTATTTGTGGTGAAGTATTTCCAGTGTTTCCAAGTTGTCAAAAGGATCAATTAATCTCCTTAATTCGTGCGCACACACACAAATTTACATACATATCACTTATGAATCACCTTGACCGAAATGACATGACATTGACTTGTTCAGACTGGTAGACAAGGGTAAATACTGTATGTAAAGCGGCGATTACCTTTTATGTGGTTTTTATGGTTTTCTGAGGAGAAATCTTATTAAAACTTGTAGTCAATTTATTTGAACATTTTATTTGGACCATAATTATTTCGAGCTGATCCCATCAAAGTATCTACGTTTATCTTATTAGCTTTTTGTTAAATTCAACCTACAATTCTGATTACATAAATAAGTTTTACAATCAGATCTATTTCAGGTTTTAGCCACATTTGATATCGAAACTTAGCCAAGTTACTGAAGCCTCTTTACTAGTCTAAGTCGTGACTAATTTTTGGTGGTTATAGGCTTTGTTGCAACCTTGATCTGTTTACCCACCTCTATGCAGTGGATAACTTGTCTAAATCTAGATTAAGACCTTGACGCGATAGGCTAACTGGCTTAACCTTGAGTTTAGTATTCGTGGTTTGAAGTGAGACCAACTGCTTGGGGTAGAGAGACGAAAACTATTCTATTACCTGATTGGCTGACAAACACGCAAGATGAGTAGATAAGTCAACTAGAACACTACTCAATTTATTCCCGATTCAGATTGGTGTAAAAAGATTCATGAATAAATAGATGACTAACCAAACCACAACTCACAAACAATTAGGAAAAGACAATTTCGTCCAATACTGAGGATTAGAGTAGACAGTAGAGTACAAAAGATCACTTTATATTACAGTAGCTTTGGAACAGAAAAGGCTATGGCAGTGAGTCATACATCAAGCGAAAGCTTATGATCTGTATAATAGACTAGGGACAAAAATAACTGTTACTGTTTTTCAAGCTTTGAATTAAATGAAGTAACGTCCGGCAAAATAGCTTCCGTAGTTTTCCAAGGTTTCTTGTTTCTCTGTTCACATCGGGCTTACAGCTGTAAATCATTGATTTGTGTTCTCTTGCCTGTCATATCTCATCATTTGTGATTCGGATTGGGGAGAGGTGGTTAAAGAGCTTTTGTGATCGGCCGATTATTAATTTTTATTCATATGAAAACTGAGTACAACATACTGTAATTGGAGTGAAAATTAAAGCTATTTAGAGATCAGATATTACATCACAAAGGCTGTTAATTTGCATCGTCTTTGAATCTAAGTTTTGATGTGAAATCGGTCAGAATGTCAGTATGATTTTGGGGAGCCAAGTTTGTATACTGTATTTAATGGTATTGTAAGACATGGATAAAATAATAATAAGGCTGCTTGAACTACTTATGTGAAAAATTTATGTGTTTATATGACTTTTATGAGATCTATATTCTACGTAATATTTCCATCTTCTTATGGAATTTTGTAGGACGAATTCAGAAGAAATCCCTCTAAGTCAAGAAGAAAGTAGTTCAGAGATGAGTGTTTACTCTGAATATCAGGTATATTTTACTTTATTGGTTGTTCGAATGAATGGCATTTACATCAATACTGTCAACCAGTATTTTAATCGTCCAACTTCAGCACTCGATTTACGGTATCATTACTTCATTTTTCAAGGTTTAGGCAGTCACAGCTTTATTAAATACCACAGTACACGTTGTTCATCGCCTAGTCCTTGAACTTATAAACTTAATCCCTGAGTTTGTTGCTTATATTTCGCATGTATTGTTACCGTACTCTGGCAAAGTAGGAAATAACTTTTGTGTTTCAGACGGAAAATTTATTTCATTGTATTTGTTTGCAAGATAATACTTTGATTATTAGTATTTATTTGTTATACTCCGGACCTTAGTGTTTAAAAAATATGTTTGTCATTCTAACTGTATGATGAATTAATTTGTCTTAGTATAAACCAAATAAATGTTTTGTGCTTCCAGGTTATATAAATATGTATACACATGCGAAAGCGCTACTAAAAAAATAAGGCACAATAATGGAATGATAATCTTGCAAAATAATTGAAGAGGGGAAAGTCGTTTACTCAGTAATTAATTGAACAAAAATATTATTTCATATGATTTATACTTCAGTTAAAAATTACACCATGGTAAGTTCCTTCTAACTAAGAAGGTTCATCTTATTGGGATGAAGAATATGATAGACCCCCTACTAAATTCTATCCCAAGTCATGTTTGGTAATATTTCAAGCAGTTGAGTTGCGTGATCTCTATAACCTCAATAAGAAAGTCGGTGAGAAATTAAAACCGCCACCACAAAATTCCTTCAGAGCTGTTTCTAGAATTTGTAGTGTCGGGTGCTATGTCAAGCCCATATAGCTTATTCTCTCTTCCAGACAGGCCAATTTATTCACTCTTCTTGAGTCACATTTTGACCTTTTTAATTATTCGCTTATTAATCCGAACTTTTTATATGATCGTGTGTGTGTGTATTGCTTACCATATTCCTCACATGTTTGTAACTTATTTCTCCACTGCGCATTGTTTCGCTTCGTTTCTCCGATCGTTTGTCTGGACTAACTATTGTATGAAATACATGTACTTGAAATCCACTCACGTATTTGACTTATTTAATTCCGTTGTTCACTTACGCGAGTTAAGTCGAGAAATATATTCGAGGTTTGGCGATCAAATTGGAATCAGATACCCGGGCCACGAAAAATTCCGTGAATGGCAAACCAGGCTGGTGTCCAGTCTGGTCAAGGTCCAGGCGTTGAAGGTAGAAAGTTTAAGCTGCATATTAATTGCTGCAATACTTCAATCAGGTCCTATATTTAATGATAGCATTAAAAATTTGGTCGTAAAGCTACTTGAAGTCGTTTAGATACGACAGAATTTTCAACAAATACAAGACGCTATGTGGTTTAAAGGTTAAACTTAATGTAGGAAAAACTCATGCAAAATGAAAAAATAAAGTAGATTTGAAGGAATTTAGAATTTGCTTTTAATAATGCAATGAAAAAAATCTTTTTGTACCTAATGATACAAAGTATCAGGTTCATATTCCTCACTAAATATAATCGTTATTTGTCTTTGTGCCATCATACTGCTCTAGCGCTCAAACTAAGACACGTAGTTTTTACAAGTCAAACTTCAGTCAAGCGTTTTGCATCTGGGTGTAATCCACAAGGTGGATCGATAAAATCGACAGTCACTGAAGCTGGTGACCAAAGTGAATTTACGCCCCATCTGTTCCTCCACGATCCCAGAACCCATGTACACTATTCTCAGCAGTCAGAGTTGCCCAAAACGTCTACGTGACAACTGCAGTCTGAGGTGTCGACGTTCAACCCCCTCTTCTTATTGTCAGGAAGACCCAGAATATTCCTCTAAAAAAGCCCAAAGAGCCCCTAAAGACATTGGAAGGCATTTTATCTAATCAACACTGAATAGAAGTTTCGCGGAAACATCTCTAAAGTGAAGAGTCACATTTCTGATTGAGTGAATACCTATCCTGCTACTATGTTTATCAGGGTCACAATACCTTTTAGAAGCACAAAGCCACTTGAAATGTTATAGATACCTTCAATTTTCTGTACATGAACTAACCTTTTTCCATATTTCGCACCTTTTCTCTCCTGTTCAAGCTGTCGCGTATAGTTAGTCTGGTGATTATTAAAAGAACTTAGGAAACCGATTCAAGCGTTCAGTTAGTTTTATCACTTACTTTCGTAGAAAAACAGATCTATCATGTTAATTGAATGAATGAAACTCCCCTAGATGGACAGTGAAATAAACCGTGGATTAATAAATTCAGTAACTTGCATTTTACAGTAATACCAAGTTAAGTACGAACTGAGTAATTTAAAAAAATTTATGTGACTACATAACTATTTATTTCGATACAACAATGAGAAGATCAGACCAACTCCGTCTTCTCATTGTTCTATCGAAATATAAAAGGGACTAATTACTTTAACTATATATTCTCAAAAAATTTATTAAACAATATGTTTTTTCAAGTTCGCTAAACTCAAATCTACTAAAGTGATGACAAACTGACAAAGAAAAAAATGGGGTGGTGGTTTAATTACGAGTTATGACTGCTTAGGGCAAAACAAATTATTAGAGAAGCAATTCATTGATAAGCCGTCACTAAATTATATTTTCTTGGGTATTTTCGATGCCTAATCTTTTCAATCAGTCAACCACAACGTAGGACCAGACACATATATACATCGATCCAAGTTGCCAAACTTCATTAACACAACAAGATGAACACCGAATTCATAGAACCAGTTACTACAACAGTAGTAATATATAAAAGAAAGACCACATATAAGGATATAATACATGGAGAAAGGACTAGTTCGTAGATAGAAAGGTATAAAGTAATTTTAATCTCACGGTTTGAAGGAAGGCAAATTGTGTATGCACCTACTCCATTGTGATCGACTCTGAGCCATGTCATCCAGAGTCTCCAACCACTGGTTACGTTAGTCGCGCGGCCCCCAACGATGTAGTTTGCATCTACCAACATGGCTCAGACCAGAAGTTAGTGACTTTAAGTACTGGTGCCGCGTTTTGGTTTCACTACCAGTAACTCTCTTCCAAACGTCTCCAACATTAGTCAGCATTGCGTGTCGTGGTAATCGGTGTTCAGGCATACGTGACACGTGGCCCAACCATCTTAGTCGATGAAAATTTACAACCTTATCAACTGGTTTACTGTCATTTCCTAATACCTTGCGTATAACCTCACTATTACTTACTCGACGATCCCAGCAGATGCGAGCAATCTTTGATCAAATAATAGTAACTTACGAGTATTTTCTACTCCTAATGGCCACGTTTCGCAGCCGTAAAGTAGAACAGAACAAACTACTGCACAGTATACTCATCCCTTAATCGATAGACGGATATCTCGCCTTCGCTATAGGTGACGTAAGTTGGCAAAAACCAAACGAGCTTACTTAATCCTTGCAGAGATTTCGTCAGACACCAACTCATTTGGGCTGATCAGACTTACAATATAGGTGAAGTTGTCGACGCATTTAACTACTCCACTTCCTATCCTTTGTTGACGCAGGCCAGTCCTGATGCAACAACTTGTATTTAGAGGGAAGAAACGCACCCCAAAATCCTGGCATTGCTGCTCAGTGCTACCAAAGACCGCATTTTATCAGCGTTTTCATCAAATAGGGCTGTGTCATCTGCATATTCTAAGTCGATAAATGGATCTCCTGGAAAGAGATCAATTCCTGAAAATTCAAACCACAATAACGTCATTTCCAACAGTAGGTCTGTGATGGAATTGAACAAAAATGGAGATAGTGGACAGCCTTGACGGACATCACTTGAGGTTGCAAAATCAGATAACAGTTCACCATAAGCTCTGACACCACTAGTGTTCGAGGAAATAGCCTTCACAAGGTTTACGTACTTCTGATGTACACCTTTCAATGACAGACACTGCCACAGAACCTCCCGGTCAACAGAGTCAAGCGCTGCTTTTAAGTCAAGGAAGACCATCATCTTCGGACGCCAATAAGCATACCTGTGTTCTAGGACGTGACGAATGGTGAATATGTGGTCGATGCAGCCCCAATGAGGTCTGAAGCTAACCTGATTTTCTCGTGTTTGCATTTCAGACTGTTTGAGAATGGTAAGTAGCTGAAGGTTATCTGAAATGCCTAAAGTATTCCGCCCATCGTTCTAAACATCTGGATTAAGAGCAGATAGGAGTGTAATCTTTTTCCGAGATCGTCTCACTTACACTTGTCTTTTTAATTGCAGTTTCTTTTATTAGTCTGGAGAGCTGTCTAGTGTTACCTACAGCCACTACCTTTTCCATCTCTTTTGCTTCCGTTGTCCACCATTGCTCACGGTCATTTCTTAGACTTTGGTTAACCTAGATCTGATTTGTTTACGCTCTTCATCGTGTTCAGAGCTTAATGGAATGAGTTTACGAGGATCTATTAGTGCAATATACTTAGTAGAAATCCACTGATTTTTCTTGATCGTTTGGTTTTGCTATTTCCACATCTGGGTCAGCCTCATCTTCAGAACTGCCTAAGTGGGATCTCAGTTGTTCCTGAAATATATTTTGGCTGAGTCCAACTTTAATCGGTCTTCTTAATGGTATTTTTCTGCGTCCAGCGAGGCGGAAGCAAATGTGTGCTCATATGAGAGCGTGGTCGGAGTCCAAGCAGGTATTCCAGAATGAGCGACAATCTTCTATCGACCATCTCCAACAATGACTAATGACAATATGGTCTATTTGAGTCCATCGTTGGTTTGGTGCAGGGGGTCGCCATGTTAGGCAATATCTTCGTATGCTTAAAATTAGTGTTTGCTAAAAATAAATAATTGTTTGAGCACAGTTGCAGCAAACGATCACCATTATCTGTTCGCTGAGCCGAAATACCAAAATATTCACCTAAATGTCTTTCTGTTCTATTTAAGCTACCTACCTGTGCATTAAAGTCACCTGCTACGAGTACTATGTCTGAGCGTTTAGCTTTTTGAAGAAGTTCAGAAAGCTTTCTGTAAAAGTCGTCTTTCATTTCATCCGAGCTACTGTCAGTGAGAGCGTAGGCAGAAACGACGGAAAGGTAACGAACTGTGTCCCTATCCTTCCGAGTTCCTACCGAGCCGTTTAGCCGAACAGCACATAAATGACTGTTAACGGGGATCCACTCTAACAGCGCTTGTTCCGCCCTCATGCTTAGTGCTATGCCTACACCTGCAAGTCCACGAGAACTAGCCATCGGGTCGCCAGATACACGGAGGTTGTATCTCACCGGCTCTTCGTTTTGCCGAGGTGAGGTCAAGTGAATGACCACACTAGCATCCTGTATGCGTGTTTCGGAGACACAGCATACATCAATTGTACGAGGGTTTTAGCCAAGGAGGCTTGCTGACCGATTTGACATAGTGTGCGTACGTTGAAGGCTCCAATGTGTAGTTTTGATCGAGGTTTCAGTAGACCTGGGACAGCGTTTTAAGCACCAGAATCGTTGGCTATGGTGATACTTGAGGAGGAAACCAAAAGAGGAATTTTAGGTTTGAAAGTCGATGTAGGAGGAATAATAGGAATTGAAGAGGGAGGTTGATTATGAATACAGTGGTCTTGAGTGCTGTTAGATGTATGAGGGCGGTTATCACTTCCCAGTGAAATAATTTTTTTACAATTATTAAGTGAGGAGATCAATGGTATATTGATCTTTTTGGATGTATATATATATATATATATATATATATATATATATATATATATCGTTTCATTTTATGTTATAATTACCAGTATTTACTTAACTATCAACAAGGTTACATTGGAGGAGCATAAAAGACGTTTGGAAGAAATGGAGAAACTAGTCAAACATTTTGACTCACCTATAATTAATGAACCTATTAAAAGTGTTTTAAGCTCTGAAATTAAAAGTAGGTAAGTATTTATTATTTCATTCACTGATTTTTGTCTGCATAAAATAAAAAAATTTCCGAAACACTACTGAATCATGTGTATTCTTAACATGTAGGTAAACATATTTTAAAACTTGTACTGTTCTTTCCTAACCCCAAGTTTATGTTGCGGTGATTTTTAATCAGACATT